ATTGCTATCTCTATCCCCATGTATGATTTTCCTAATCTCAATTGGGGTTTGAAGTATGCTAGTGATTGTGCGTCCAAGTGCAGCAACGGGGCTCCCTTGCGCCCTCCAGGGGCGGCTCTCAAATACTGCATACTTCCCAGTGCAACTCAGAATCCTAGATTGAAAATGACACCCCCTCAAATAGAATTAATCCAACAAGGTTTAAATCAAAAGTGAACTGATTTGCTACAATAGCCACATGCTGTGCCCTCCCTGGGGGTCATCAAATGTCTGGCTCCTTCTTAAACATTCAAACAACAATGACACCTCTTTTCCCTCCTGGGGCTTCCTATTTATTCAACACTGAACACCTACTTTTGTGCCAGACTCTGTTCTAGGCACTATGAATGTGCCGTGAACAACACAGAGGAAAATCCATTCCTTTGTGGAGCTGCCATTCTAATGGAGGGATAAAGATGTGACAAAATAAGTACCCTATAAAGGTGTATCAGGTGATTTTAAGTGCTAAGGAGTAACAAATCAGGAAAGGGTAGAAGAGATGCATGGGCATGTAATTTTGAACAGAGGGGTCAAGGCAGGCCTCACTGAGGGGATAACCTGTGAGTCAAGACTTGAAGGAGGTGCAAGACAGAGCCATGGAGGTATTAGGGAAAAATCATTCTAGGCAGATGCAAAGGCCCTGGGGTAGGACCGTGACCTTTGTGAGATGAGGATTGTCTTGTTACTGGCTGCATCCCCAGCAACCAGTGGCACTTGGCACTTAATAGTATTCAATAAATATGCCATAAATGGATAAAATGCCCAGCTGTGGGCTTTAGGAAAAGCTTGCTCAGGGCTTGAATGATGACCCCAGTGCTGTCACCTGCTCCACCTGTTGGCTTTGTTCTCAGACAACTTTTCTCCTGTGGTCCTAGACAGTGCTCAGCTTCAAATCCCACTAAGCAGTAAGTATTAATCTCTCATATTCCCAGCAAAAGCCCCAACACAGCACTGGCTGGGTGGGTGGATCGCATGTCCCTCCTCCATCCAGTCCCTGAAGCCATGGATGGGGTGTAATGGTGGCTCAGAACGAGGTCACATGCCCCACCCATAGCACACTGAGATGGGAGAAGAACCCAAGGACGTCAGAGGTTAATGGTTATGGCTGGAAGGAGGGAGAAAGGATGCTGGGAAGGGAGAAAGAACTAATGTTTTGCAGCTTAATCATAACAACTGGGATTTATTTATTCATTTATATTGAGCACTCCTGTGCTAGCCCCAGATAAGGTGCATTTAATGCTCACAACAATCCCATGAAGTAGGTTAGCTGCATTTCACAGATACATAGCTGAGGCCAAGAGGAAGCTGAGGCTTGAAATTTCACAGCTAGTAAGTGGCAGTTCCTGGCGTCTCCCAGCTCACAGGGAGCCCAGAGCCTGTGCAGGGCTCCACCCTGAAGTCCCTGTGCTGTCTGGTGGCTGCCCTCACCCAGCCAGGGACAGGTTGGCAGGACCAACCACTGAGCTGAAGGCAGAAGCCCTTAGCATGAGAGCACAAAGAGAGATAATTCTTGATAGAGAAAGAGAGAAATGAAAGACAGCTCAGGGCCAGCTCCCACTGGGCCTGCAGGCAATGAGAAGATGCTGGCAGAGGCTGGAGGCAGCTGAGCCAAGCTTGCTCTTCCAGTGGAAGTCTGAGGTGGCAGGGAGGCCCACAGGAGGGTGGCTGCCTCTCAGGTCTAGGGCCCCAAAGGGCCAGGAGGAGGATGGGATGAGTCAGGGAACTCAAGGAGGCGTCTGGTATTTATGGTACGCCTGATGTATACCCAAGCCCTGACAGCTGCATCTCCTTCCAAACTCAGAAGACACCAACAACCTGCTATTAGGAAGACTGCTCTACCTGCTGTCCATGGTGTCCCTGGCATCCAGCCCTGCACAGTTTCAGGTACACAGCAGGTGTTCAATAAATGTTTGCTGCTACATGAGTCACCCAAGAGCCCTGTAAAGAGGTAAATTCCTAACCCATTACCAATATGAGGAAACCAAGACTCAGAGAAAACCAAGGCACCACCAGTATTGGAGTCCAGCTGGGCCCAGCTTCCCACGGAGCCATGCCTGGAGTTGTAAGATCTGGGGCAGGCAGATCTCAGGTGCAACTGGCCACATCCCACAAGAACTGGCCAGGCACCTGGAGACCTTGGGGCAGCTGGCTACCCACAGTAACAGGGCTCAGTTTTCATAGAATGTTTGCTTCTTCTCTCTCTTGCCTCAGTTTCCTAATCAGTGAAATGGAAATGGTCGTGTCCACCTCACAGGGGATTAGATCACAGAGGCCAAGGGTAGGCCCACGCAGGTCAACTTCCAGCAGAGAGTTCCAGAAGGGCAGGTAAGTTGGGATGTGTTTGCTGCCAGCACACTGTGCCTGGCACAGGGAGGTGTCCAATAAATGCCTGAGGAGGCCAGGTGCTCAACAGGTAACACTGCTGACGCTGCACAGGGATAGGCATCCCCACCCCCATGGCATCTGCCCAGTACCCCAGTTCTCACACAGGGTCCCTTCCTACCGCTGTTGATCCAAGTCCAAGTTCCCAGAGCTTGGAAGGATAGGTTCAAAGAGAGGATTACACGTGTCTTTTGTTTTTGTTTTTAAAGAGGGCAGAGGATTCCCATTTCTCAAAGGGAAGTCCCTTGGAAGTGGAGTGGAATGTAGGCTAGAGCATCCAAAGAATCTGCCAGAGCTGAAGCCAGTGGGACTTGTCCAGGGATATCAACCCTGACCTAGAGGGGCACAGTGATTCCCTGGGGCTGTTCCATTCTCCAGGCCGGGCCTGGGTCAGTCCCAGTAGGACTCAGACAAGAAGAAAATGGGCTGATTTTTTTCACTGGTGAAGAGAGGGTGCAGAAAAATGTCCTACTCAGACCCAGACAGGCCTTGACTTAAAGCTTTGAAGCCTTTCCTCAGTTTGGGAAGACAAACAAGGAGAACCACACAGCTGGGAAAATGAGAGACAGAACCCTTAATGTGAGCCATCCACCAGGCCTGATTTTTCAGTACCAACTCTATCCCCCTGGGGCTGCTTCACCCCTCCTTCTAGAATCCTTTCTGCTCAAGCCTCCTCAGCAGGTCCCAGCATCACTCTGGAGACTCAGAAGGTGACAGGGGCTGGGTTACTCAATAGTTAGAGCAGGGATGCTGGATCTGAGAGTCCAGGTTGGCCCCTAGCTATGTGATCTCTAGCAAGTGACCTCACCTGTCTGAGCCTTCCTTCTTTTGAAATAAAATGAGGATGATCATGCCTAAAGGAGCTAAAGCATACAGTAGTTTCTCAAGCTTCTCAAGCTGAAGATGCGAGGCGATTCTCCATACAAATGAAGAGGCAACTGAGTTTCTGGCTGTCAGGTGTGCTGTACAAAATGTTTACCTTCTTGTCTCAGTCTTGAATGGACCAAGAAACAATATTTTATGGTCCCAGGTTGAAGCCTGTAAGGTAACCCGAAATTGGTTGAGGCTCTGGAAAGGGGCGTGGAGCAGACAGCGAGTGGGAGACCTGGGTCCTCTCCAGCCAGCGGGAGGATGAGCCCCGGGCGGGGTGGTGGTGGGGACGCCTCGGCCTGCACCTGGGGCCACTGTGAGTGTCTGAGCGGGAGCCCGTGCCTCCCCAGGGGCATCCCCGGGGCCGAGGGCGCCCTCCACCCACCGGGCCACGCCTCCAGCCTTCGGTCGGAACCCACCCTGCCGCGGGTTGTCGGCTGGCTGTGGTCTGCCCTTTTTCCGAAGGTCCGGCCCGGTGCGCCCCGCGCGCTCCTGAGAGAGCCTGGTTCCCTCCCCAGGTAACACACCCAACCCCCCGGCCCCTGCCAGCCGCGCCCCGGGCTTGGGCCCGCAGGCCTCGCCCCTCACGGGTGTCTGGGGCCCCTTCCTTTGTTCTGAGACCCGTCGCTTCGGCCCTTCCTTCAACGCTAATTCGCTCCTCCGACCTCAGGTCTCCTGTCCCTGCCGCTGCGTCCCGAGGGGCAGAGGCCTCCGCTGGGCCCGGGGATGGGGCCCAAGCCGGCGACCGGGCCTGTGGCTGCCCTCAGCTGCATCCCCCACTGGTGCCACGAGGCTGCGCGTCGCCTCCGGATGGGACCTGGAGCGCGTGGACCAGCAGGTGTGCAGCGGCGAGTCCTCCTCCAGCCGGGACTGCGGCAGCCCCAGGGCAGACCTCGGGACGGCCTCCTGGGAGAAAGGAGGGGCAAGTACAGGTTTCCTCCTTACCCCAAAGTAGAGGGTTCCTAAGCCAAGAAATGGTCTGGAACTTTCGGCCACTTTGCCTTATGGAAGGCCTATGTTGACACGGTTACTTTTTTCATAAAAGTGAAAATCCTCTTAGGATTTTCTTTTGGTTAGCGAAAACAGGTACTAACGTAGGTCTTTCATCAAAGCGAAGTGGCACTCAGAAAGTGGCACTTTTCTGGAAAGTAGTGCATGCTTCCGACTCTTGTTTTCCCCTCTGCACCCCAAGCCTCCTGCCCTCGGCTCCTTTAGCACTGGGAACATAGAAGCGTAGCTTATCCCATCACTGCAAAGCTTCAGCCAGCTGTCTGCCCTCTCAGACACCTGGGAGGGCCATGCCTGACTCCATTATCTTTGGTTGCCTCATGTATTTTGAAACTGTCTCCATATTAAGTGTTCAATTAATATCTGAATATCCAGCTAAATAAGTGAATCAATTTAATAAATAAATCCACTGTCAGGTGTGTTTGGGGGCAAATGTGCTAAGCCTTCTTCATTCATCCCTATTGCCATACCATGCAAGCATCAAGTCATAAAATATTGTTTCTTGGTCCATTCAAGACTGAGACAAGAAGGTAAACATTTTGTACAGTACACCTGACAGCCAGAAACTCATTTACCTCCTCATTTGGATGGAGAATTGCCTCGCATCTTCATCTTGAAGTCTTGCTCTAGCTGGCCTGGGCTTCGACACAGCAGTGTGTGTTCAACTGTTTCTGTTTCTCCTCCTGTTCTCTGGAGTTGTTTTATTGAGAGTTTTGCCACCAGGTCTTGCCATCTATTATGAACATATTGTATGTAATGTTTTCCAAAGGAAATCTAAAAACACATAGAAGCCATACTGCACAACTACATGTATAGGAATACCTCCTGTCTACCTGCTGGGTGGCAAAATGAGCTGATGTTTCTGAGGGGTGAGGATTCTGCTTCTCACCAGGAAGGTCTGCCGTGTGTGACATGCGGGATGATTTCAAGGTGCAATTACTACGAATGCACAAATTTGGAAACTGTCCGCTTTCTCATGCCTACCTGATGTCAGAGCCACTGTGCCTGAGCTCTCATCAAGGGAATAATCAAAATATTTAGCAACTGGTACAGACAGGCCCTGCTGAGTCAAAATGGCCACTGTTGGAACAGAGCACTAGAGGGTCTCTGCTGTGCCATAGATTAACTCTGCATTTGCAGGATCCTAGGGAAGACAGGGAAATCTGGGGGAGGCTTTGGGAAGGGGCTGTTTACCCACCAGCAGAGGCATCTTTCTATATTCTAACTAGTGCCACTGTGCCAGCCAATGTCAGCCCTGCTCTCTCCTCCACAACCTTATCCCTCCCGGCCCTTTTAGAGCTGTACTTGTCCTTTCTCTTCTACATCCGATGCCTATTTCCTACTTTTAGCCAGAGGCTGTACCATCTCCTCTTTCAGTGGTCCTCTCAGTATGGGAATATCTGTATCTGCAGTGGCATTTACAGGCAAGCATGGCCCAAGCCAGAAAACCCAAAACCCAGCTGTGCATCAGAATCACCAAGGCAGTGCCTCAAAACTGACAGTCCGAGTCATCTGTACATCTATGGAGCCAGCCAGGTGACATTGATGTACAGCCAGTCTTAGAGGTCGCTGCCAGCCTCCTAAATCCAGGATCAGTAGGAAGCTCTGGGGCAACACTGGTACAAACACCCGAAAGTTCTTGGAAGGTGGGAGCTAAGAGCCACTCACAACAGCTTTTTCTTCCTGATGCATGTGGTCAACACCAGCAGAAAGAGCACTGTGGCCACGAGGATTCCTGCCACTGAGACAGCAGACATGATGATGTTCCTCTGTAGGAAGTGCAGAAGCTGTGCACACAGCCAATCTCTCTTTTGAACATCTAAATGAGAAGACAGTAAACAGAGAGAGACTACCATGCAGATCTGCAGCATACCTGTTAGTTCTGCTTGTAGCAGAAATAAAAACCTTAGCATCTTAGCCACAGCTCCAGATGGTCCTCTGCAAGAAACTGGCTCTGTTCAGGAAAATATGTTCATAAGCCTTTAGGTGGTGGAGGTGAGGTGCAGAGGGTATGAGCAGGCAAACAGCAAAGCCACGACTAAGGGTCAACAAACCAGTGTGTAGGCAGTAAGGAGAAGAATGGATGGGAGTTCAGATGGAGGCAGGAGGCAGGAGCACTGGAGGAGGTGAAGAGTCCTATTGCCATGGCTTTTAAGACTATTCGGTTTTCAAGAGCAGTGATACCATCTCTTCTCTGCTGCCCCCCACCAGCTTCAGGACATTCTGCCATATATATATACAGGCTCCCTTGTGTGTGCAGGTATGGGGGAACTCCATGCATAAGGTAGATGGGATGCTAGAGAAGATCCTGAGCTCTTACAGCCCCCTAGGGATCTGCAGAGCTCTTGAAGGTAGGTTTGGGGCACAGCCACCAACCAGGGGCCTGGAAGAACAGGTGATCTTAGCTAGATGTCAACAGAAGGAGACCCCAGCCAACATCGGGGACTCCTAGAATCCACCCAATTTGTAATGTGACCAAAAGAGGGATCAGGAAAATGGGGCACAGAGGTACAGTGACAGGAATCGGATGGCTTCATGTAGAGAGCTACTGATGGAGCCTAGTGATGCCGGCCAGGGAACCCGGCCTTCCTCGGTTCTGGGGAGAAAGCTGGGCATGTCGCCCTCCTCCTTCCATCTACACTATGTCAAGAGGGAGCAGCATTAAGCCACTCTCAGGGCTCTATAGGAAGAGTTCAGCACTGAATTTCTTAGAGTTAGGAAGTGACACCAGTTATAATCTTGATAGCAGATGGCTACACAGAGGGAGTATACTAGGCTTGGTACAGGCACACTGCCATGATGGGCAAGTTTCTACCCACTCTGAATGAGCCCAGGCTCAGATAACCCAAGGCTAAAGATCAGAGACTAGGTTAACATTTGGCATTTAACCACTCCTGGTTGTCAGAAAGCCTCAGTGCACAGTAATGGATGGTGCCCATGTTATGAATGATGGTGGCTACATAAAAGAAAAAACATAAAAGTGGCATCTTTTTTGAAATGGTGGTCAAATCCCTAGAGTGGTCAAATTCCTAGAGTTAATTTAAGTCATAATTTTAACCGCAGGTGGTATACTTTCTCAGGTAAATTAAACATATGCTAACATCTATTCTGTTAAAATACCATGAAAGGCAAACAGATGCATTCTGAGGTCATCTGTACTTGTGTTTCTTATTATCTCACTCTACTAGATTATCACCTGACAAAATCGCTCCTGTAAGTATTTCTTTATCGACAGTAGTTAACTGCTTACCCACATCCCTGTCGAATAGAGAGGGTTCTTTATCCCTCTTCTCCTCTGAAATGTGACCTACAAACAACAAAAGACAAAATGTGTTAGTTGAAAAATGACTATTGGCCTGTGGTTAATTCTGCTTTTATGATAAAAGTCACTTCCTCTAGAATCAAAGTGAGGAGTTAGGGAGGATTCTGGAGGAGTTCAAATGTACGTTAGTGTTTCGGTCTTGTTTATTTTTCTAATCTAACAAATTCCTGGGTGACCCACCCTTAGACTGATGCTGTGGTTCTCACACTTGAGTGGAAGTCAGAGTCATACCAGGAGGCCTTGTTAAAAAACACGTCGCTGGGCCCCACCCCAGCCTTTCTGATTCACTAGGTCTGGGGGACCTGGGAATGTGCATTTCTCACAGACCTGAGCAACACAGCTGCTGCTGGTCAGTGACCCTGCCAGAGCACCCCAAAAGAACCTTTCAGCCAGCTGCTGAGCTTCTCTAACCCCAGTCTCCATTAGTATAAAATAGAGATAATAAGACCCATCTTACAGGTAGCATAATGTGCATGAAAACAATCTAAAATCACAAAGTACTACAAGAAGTGTTTCAGGGCAAGGCAGGAAAATAAACGACACTGAAATATTCTCTTATTGGTAGACAGACTGCAGAATGGTTTAGTCAAAAAAGATAGGCTTGAAAATTAGAAACGTTAGCATCCTAATTCTGCATTGGCTATCTTGACTGATGGGCATACGAGACCTTGTCAAAGGGGCTGAGTGGTTTAGTTTGGAGAAAATTGGGAAGCCAGGAGAGATGTTTTTGCCCCATACAGCAATGGCCCTCGGAAAGTCCTGGGAGATGTTCTGAGAAGTTCCAGGGCACAAACCAGGATGAGTGGGTAGGAGCTCCAGAGACATGTGTTTGGACTAACCATTCAGTAGTTAGAAAGTCAGTCTATCGAAAGGGAATGAGAGTGAGAAGTAATGAATCTGCACCCCCAGGAGACTTCCAGGTGGGAGCTGCACTGAGGGCTCACAGGCAGCCTTGGGGTGAGTCTGGTGTGGAAATGACACCATGGTTAAGACATGTGTGTTACCATGTAACAGCCTCATGAGGTCTTAATTATTCCTAGGCAAAGACAGAAATGTTCCTTATTTAGTTTGGCTTAGGAAAGAGAGAAAACCCCCAACTTAATGTGATTCACCATCACTTGACTTTGGAAATTCCAGCTTGTCAGACCAGTTGAGAGACGAACAATCCCAGACAGAAAACTCTGGGCAACACAGTTAGCCCACCAAGTGGCGGCATTTGCTTTACTCTTCCAGAGCCGTTAAAAGCGCCTGTCCCCAAACACAGATCTTTACTTTCCTTGTTTCTGATAATGAACAACAAGCAGATTCCCCACTCCCACCATGCATGCAGACTCCATGTAAGCTGCCAGTGACCTGCTGTGCCCAAAACTGTCTTAAATGAGCTCAACACCAAGAAATGTTCACACTGGGCTCAAGGAAGAGTTGAAGTCTTACATCTCATACTTTCTCTGATTTTTGTTTTGATTTGTTTTTACTCTTAGGAGACTCTAGTATTGAAATGAGCCTTTGATTATATGTTAATGGAACCTATTGCTGCTACACTGTTGTTAACCAAGGATGAGATTCCCTCCGGGTCATCCAAGATCATTAATAACTGAATTCTCTGAAGACCTGGGCACACCTTTTATAAGACACTTCACTCTTAAAAGGATAATTTTCTCAGCTCTCTTCCTACCCAGACCTTTTTACCATTAATTTTTGTTGTGATTGTTGAATGGTCACTGCTGCTAAAGAAGAGGTGCAGACAGTGTGATCTGGGACTCCCTGGTCCCATCAGACTAGCCTCAGAGCAGCTCCTGGCCTCTGAAGAGGGCCCCGTGGCCTCCTTTTCTCGTGAGGCACGATCTTGGTACCGTTTGCAGACTTTCTCAGGCCTCCTTTCTTTTCACTCTCCCTGCTCCCAAACCATTAGTAAGCAGACCCATTTCTCTTTTGCTCGCTCAATGCTCCATGCATTTTCTACCACCTAAAGCACTTTTTAAATACCTTCAATTTCAGCATATTTATCTCTAATAATGATTGATGAGATTTAGCAGTGAGCTCTTGGAGGATGCTCATTTAGCCCTCTTGCTAAATGATAGCACCGGGCAGGAGAGCAATATTTAGGCCCTAGTGAGAGAAGAAATCGTGACTCTTGACTGCAACCTCATGAGAGATTCTGAGCCAGAACCACCAGCTAAGCCTGTACTGGTGGCCAAGAGGGATCATAGGCAGGACAATTGGTACAGGAGGGTCCGCTTCCACTCATACAGCTGTTGGCAGAAGGCATCTCCTCACTAACTGGAGGCCGGAGGGCTCACGTCCTCATCACAAGGGCCTGTCCTCAGGGCTGCTGGAGCATCCTCACAGCAGCTGACCCTCCCTAGAATGTGCAGTCTAGAGACAGCCAGGCAGAAACCACAAAGTCTTTTAAGACCTGAAGTAACATGCTGTCACTTCTGCCATGTTCTGTTCACTAGAAGCAAGTCACCAAGTCCAGCCCATACTCAGGGGAAGGGGGATTAAGCTCTGCCTTTGGAAGGGAGGGGTATCAAAGAATTTGCAGGCATATTTTAAAACCACAGTAAGAGTTAAATTCCATGGAAGACAATTGAACAAAGGAATACTTGTGTCCACATGAATATAAAGATTTTAATCAGCTACCTCTGGTTTTGTGCAGGAATCGTGGATGGAAAGAAGTGATACCATTCCAGAGGCATCTCACTCTGCAGGGAGCCTGGACTGGGGTATGTGACCTGTGCCATTAAGCAGAGACCCTGAATGATCTCCAGGATATTAGGTTGAGCCATATGAAATCAGAGAGATTTGACCATTTTTGACCTACAAAAACAGTAAGCTCAAATGATTCAGCCTCACATTATAGTCCTAAGGGAAGTTACTAATCTACATATATCTTCTAATTTTGAGGCTTCTAGAAACCAAATATCATGGATTATCAAGATGAATGTGATGATCAATTTGTAATGGGATCTTTTGTTTACAAATATGTATATATGGAATTGAAACCTAGTTCAGATTGATCACTGCACACCTTGGGGAAGATTAGAGGAGAATGAGACTATTTAGTGTTTAGAAAGTAGTCAAGCACTGAATCAAGCTCCTATAAGGGAGAAAAATCAATAAAGCTGACTACCAAAGGACAGTTTTAGAGACAGTGATGTCATTTTTGGTAACATGCAGAAGCTGTAGAGAAATCTCAACATGATAAGTTGGGGCACGCCACAAAGGTCCAAGAGAGGATGCCACACTTTTCCCAGAGGACCCAAGCTCAGTGAGGCACCAGGGACTCCTGGACCCGTCCAGTGTCATAATGGGGACAGAAGTGCTCATAGTCAGCTTCTGCATTTGAAAATTATTCCATCTAGTGACTCCTTGAAAGGAAAACATTACCTGCATTGCTCGCCAGTGTCAACACTTTGAGCACATCAGCAGCACATGTGCAGCCCACTTAGCAGACAGCAGAAGTCTTACCTTGAGCAAGTGGGTGTGTGGTCCAGTTAGGGAATCTAATGACTAATCATAAGCCATTGCAAGTTGCTCTTAAAACTCTGCCTAAAAATTCTTTCAGGTGTCCCTGACGTGGACACAAATAATGCACATATAACTGAGTATCCCTTGCAGGCGTCTGGAGTTCAAACACCAGCAATGTCTCCTACTGGGGACCAGCTGGACCTGTGGCCAGTTACATAACTTCAGTACCCATGTATGTAATAATAATAATAATAATGTGACATACATGGAACTGTCAGGAACAGTAAACACCATCTGCGATTTTGGTTTCTTCCTCTGAACAACCTCCACAAAGCAAGAACCTACCTGACACATGAGCTTGAGGGGTCATCCCAAAATAAAGGGATAGTCACACTTTAGACCACAGACTTGGAGCTTACAGACAGGATTTCAGATAGTTCTTTCACATCTCAATTTGTCTTTGCCACACAAATAGCTGTTTTAGAGAATGATAAGATGGTAGCATAGTGTATATGACAATGCATAAGCCTAAGAAATATGTGCACTTACAGCTTTAAAAACATGTACTTGCTTTCTTTCATGTCTGCCTTTGTATTGCTTCGTCTGCTGCTTTCTTCCATCAAAGGGTGTGTCATGCAGAACTTTGGAAAATGCTTGCTGTAGAATTTCATCTCAAGCAAAGTAAATAAAAACATATTTAATGCCAGCAGGGGAGGACTGACATATTTTTCTCTGTAAGTACCTGGTCTTGGGAAGGGAAATCCCTACTCTCTAACCATTCCTGAAATACTGTGATCACACTGGATGTCCTGAGCAGTAAACATTGCCCACTAAAGAGAGGCGGCTAGAAACTTCACTCCAAATCTTGTGATATTTAATCATAATTTTTCTTCTTGCTCCTATCGTCATTCTAACTTCTGAGACTTTCCCCAAGATGGCCCATAAAAATGGGTGAAGTCTGTGCGTGTAAAATGAACAGATTTCCGAAAGTCAGAAAGCTCTTCATCTATAAACTGTTCTTAACTATTCATGGTTACATTTTTTAAAATACACTAATTTCTCCTCCTTTTTTAAGGTTTTCAGGCTTCCACTTTTTCTTGGGGGCAGCAGTTTATTTTGCCTTCTAGGTTTTCTTTGCAAAGCCACAGAAAATAATCATCACAAATTTCATGTACTTTGAATATATTCTGAGTCCTTTCTCAGGGGTTGTTGGTATATTGGTGGGTGGATGAATAGATGCTTAGAATAAGGACAAAAAATTAACTATCACATTCAATCATTCCAAATAATGAGTTCTCATCAACTGGCCCCCTTCCCTGATGAATGTGTTAACCTACAAGTTCCTGAATTGTTGCTCAGAGAGAACCCAGCAAGTTTACTCGTGGTCCACCAATGCCAAGGCCAGTCCTAGATAGCATGTGGTAGGTCAGCAAGCCTTTGTGGGGCAAAGGGACCCACCCAAACCTGAAACCATACACCCATCTTCAAATGCGCTCACTCCCCTTCCACACATGTGGGGCTGGATTCAGAGACACAGGGCACCTGCAGGGAGAAGAAAGTCTTCTCATCCCTAAATGAGAATTCCTGAAAGCAGAGACAATGGGACTACCAGCAATCTGCACCCACCTACCCATCCATTTATCAGTCATGGTAACCTACCCATCGTTCCATCGTTCACTCAGCCTGACAGTCAGTGCAGACTTACTGAAGCCTCTTTAATGGCACACTTGGAAGAAGGGCAAACCCAGAATTCCAGGCATGGAACCATGTCTGGAAAAAAGGTCCCCATCTCATGCAGAGAGATGTCCACTTCCAAGTAGGATCAACAGACCTGGCTCTGTGATAGGAACGTCTTAACAGCTCCTCACCCAGAGGGAAGCATCTGTGCTCACACTCATGGGCACTCCTCAGACCAGAGGTGACCATCGGTATTCACTTCTGACCTAATTCCACTGTATGTCTGCACCACATATTGTTTATCTATTCATCTGTGATGGACACTTGGGTTTCTTCTATCCTCTATCTATTGTGAATAATGCTACTATGAATACTGGTGTACAAGCATCTGTTTGAGCTCCTGTTTCAATTCTACTGGGTATATATCTAGAAGTAGAATTATTGAATCATATGGTAATTCTGTTTAACATTTGGAAAGACTACCAAACTGTTTTCCACAGATACTTCTCTATTTTACATTCCTACCTACAATGCACAAGGGTTCTAATTTCCCTTTTTTCTTTTATAACAGGCATTCTGATAGGTGTGAAGTGGTATCTCATTGTGGTTTTGATTTGTGGACTAGTAATATGGAGTAACTTACATGTGCTTATTGGCCATTTTGTGTATATTCTTTGGAAAATGTCTATTCAAGTCCTTTGCTCATTTTTAAATTGGGTTGTTTGGTTGGTTTTTGTTGTTCTGATTGTAGGCATACTCTATATATTGTAGATATTAATCCCTTATCAGATATATGATTTGCAAATATTTTCTTCTATTCTGTAGTTTGTCTTTTTTACTCTTGATTGATAGTATCCCTTGATGTACAAGTTTTAATTTTGATGAAGTCTAACTTACCTATTTTTTCTTTTGATGCTTATACTTTTGGTACCAAAATTAAGATACCACTGACAAATCCAGAGACCTGAAGATTTTTTTCATGTTTTTTCCCAGTAGTTTAAAAGTTTAGCTCATAAATTTAGGTCTGTCTTTAATTCAGAATTACACTGTTTGATTGCTGTAGTTTTGTAATACATTTTGAAATCAGGAAATATGAGGCCTCTGGCTGTGTTTTTGTCTCCTGGGAATCCATCTGAATATTAGGATATTCTATTTCTACAAAAAAAAATGTCTTTGCAATTTTTGACAGGGATTGTACTGAATCTGTAGATCACTTTGGGTGTTACTGACATCTTAAAAATATTAAGGCTTCTAATCCATGAACATGGGATGTCTTTCCATTTTGTGTCATCTTTAATTTCTTTTGCAATGTTTTGTAGTTTTCATTGTACAATCTTTTGCTTTCTTGAGTTTATTCCCAACTATTTGTTCTTTTTGATACTACTGTAAATGGAATTATTTTCTTGATTTCCTGTTTGGATTATTATTAATGTGTATAAATGCAACTGATTTTGTGTGTTGACTTTGTATCCTGAAACGTTGTTAAATTCTTTTATTAGTTCTAACAGCTTTTTGCGTGTGTCTGGAGTCTATAGAATTTTCTACATATACAATCATATCATCTGTGAACACAGATCATTTTACTTCTTCCTTTCCAATTTGAATGCCTCTTTTTTTCTTGCCTAATTGCTCTGCTATAAGTTCCAGTACTATGTTGAATAGAAGTGATGAGAGTGAGCATCCTTGTCTCATTTCTGATCTTAGAGGAAAAACAAGTATGATGTTAGCTGTGGGCTTTCCATATGTGACTTTTATTATGTTGAAGTAGTTTCTCTGTACTCCTAATTTGTTGAGTGCTTTTATCATGAAAGAATGTTGAATTTTGTGAAATACTTTTCATGCATCAATTGAGCTGATCATATAATGTTGTACTTCATACTCTTAATATGGTATATTAACTGATTTTCATACATTGAGCCATACTTGCATTGGTAGTGGAATAACTACCACTTGATCCGGTGTATAATCCTTTTACTATGATGTTGGGTTCAATTTGTAATATTTTGTTGAGGAATTTTGCATTTATATTTATAAGTAATATTACTCTGTATTTTTCTAATAGTGTTTTTGTCTGGCTTTGATTACCAGGGTGATACTGGCCTCTTAGAATGTGTTAGGTAGTATCTCTTCCTCTTCAATTTTTTGGAAGAGTTAGAGAAACAGTAGTATTAGCTCTTATTTATATGTTTGGTAGAATCATTGTGAAGCCACCTGACCCTGGGCTCTTCTTTGTTGGGAAGTTTTGATTACTGATTCAATCTCTTTTCTCATTATAAGTCTATTCTGATTTTCTATTTCTTCATTAATCAGTTTTGGTCTTTTGTAGGTTTTTAGGAATGTGTTCATTTCTTCTGAGTTATCCAATTTGTTGGCATAAAATTGTTCATAATTTCTCTTATAGTCCTTTCTTTTTCTGTAATAAGTACTAATGTCCCCACTCTCATTTCTGAGTTCATTTCTGAGTCTTCTCTTTTTTTTTGTTTACTCTAAAGATTTATAAGTTTTGTTATCTTTTTAAGGAATCAATCTTTTGTTTCATTGAATTTTCTCTATTTTTCTATTATCTATTTCAGTTATTTCCACTCTACTCTTTATTATTTCCTTCCTTCTACCTTTTAATTTAGTTTGCCATTCTTTTTCTAGTTCCTCAAAGTGTATAGTTAGGTTATTTATTTGAGGGCATTCTTGTTTTGTTAATGTTTGCATTTTTAGTTATGAATTTCCCTCTTAGCATTGCTTTTGCTGCATAAGTTTTAGTGCGTTTTGTTTGATTTTCATTCATCTCAATGTAATTTCTAATTTCCTTTTGGCTATTTAACAATGTGTTGCTTAATTTCCACACATTTGTGAATTTTCCTGTTTTCCTTCTGTTGTGGATTTTTAACTTCATTCCACCATGATCAGTAAAGATACCTTGTATGATTTCAATCTTTTTCAATTTATTGAGACTTGTTTTCTGGCCAGTATATGCTCTATCCTGGAGAATGTCCTATGTGCATTTGATAAGAATGTACATTCTGCTGTTGTTGGGTGTTCTGTATGTTTGTTAGGTCTAATTGGTTTATGGTATTGTCCAACTCTAGCCCTATCTATTATTGAAAACGCAGGATTGAAGTCTCCAACTATTATTGTAGAACTATTTCTCCCTTCTATTCTTTCAATTATTGGTTCATGTATTTCAGTTCATTTGCTCTGTTGTTATGTGCAAATATATCTTTATTGTCATGTCTTTCTGTATTGAACCTCTTATCAATATATAATACTCTATAAATCTCATAAACTTTAAAAATTTGATATCTATTTTGTTGGAAAACAATGTAGTCACTCTGGCTCTCTTTTGATTACTATTTGCATGGAATGCCTTTTTCCATCCTTTTCCTTTCAACCTCCTTGTATTTTTTTTTAAGCTTAAGTGATTTTCTTGTAGACAGCATATAGGTGGATCTTGTTTTTTTCTATCCAATCTGCTAGCCTCTGCCCTTTAATAACAGTTTAATCCACAGAAGGAACAAAATAGCAGTAGACTTACAGGCACCAAGAAGGGATCAGTGGTTACCACAGGGGAGGGGTTAGGGAGGGTGGGGGGAAGAGAGAAGGGGCTTAAGGGGCACAATCATTTGCAACCACAGTATAGGTTGGTCATAGGGATGGTAGTACAGCACAAAGAATACATTAATGATTCTGTATCATCCTACTGCACTGATGGACAGTGACCTCACTGGAGGGGGTGAGGACTTGATAATATGCGTAAATGTTGAACCACTATTGTTGTGTATTGGAACCAACATAAGATTGTAAATCGATGATACTTTAAAATAAATAAATAATAACAGCTTAATCAATCAACATTTTGTTTTTTAATTAAGGTATCATTGATATACAATCTTATGAAGGTTTCAAATATACAACAATAGTGAGCAACATTGTGGTTTCAACATTCACCCATAATATCAAGTTCCCCTCCACCCCATTGTAATCACTGTCCATCAGCATAGTAAGATGCTATAGAGTTATTATTTGTCTTCTCTGTGCTGCACAACCGTCCCCGTGACCTAACTATATTGTGAGTGCTAATTATAGTGCCCCTTAATCCCCTTCTCCCTCCCTTCCCACCCACCCTCCCCAACCCCTTCCCTTTGGTAACTGCTAGTCCCTTATCGGACTCTGTGAGTCTGCTGCTGTTTTGTTCCCTCAGTTTTGCTTTGTTGTTATACTCCATAAATGAGTGAAATCATTTGGTACTTGTCTTTCTCCGCCTCACTTATTTCACTGAGCATAATACCCTCTAGCTCCATCCATGTTGTTGCAAATGGTAGGATTTGTTTTCTTTTTGTGGCTGAATAATATTCCATTGTGTACATGTACCACATCTTCTTTATTCATTCATCTCCTGATGGACCCTTAGGTTGCTTCTGTATCTTGGCTATTGTAAATAGTGCTGCAATAAACATAGGGGTACATATGTCTTTTTGAATCTGAGATATTGTTTTCTTTGCGTAAATTCCTAGGAGTGGAATTCCTGGGTCAAATGGTATTTCTATTTTTAGTGTTTTGAGGAACCTCCATATTGCTTTCCACAGTTGAACTAATTTACATTCCCACCAGCAGTGTAGGAGGGTTCTCCTTTCTCCGCATCCTCATCAGCATTTGTTGTTCCTTGTCTTTTCAGTGTTGGCCATCCTAACAGGTGTGAGGTGATATCTCATTGTGGTTTTAATTTGCATTTCCCTGATTATTAGCAATGTGGAGCATCTTTTCATGTGCCTGTTGGCAATCTGAATTTCTTCTTTGGGGAAGTGTCTATTCATATCCTCTGCCCATTTTCTAATAGGATTATTTGCTTTTTGGGTGTTGAGGCCTGTGAGTCCTTGATATATTTTGGATGTTAACCCCTTGTTGGATATGTCCTTTACAAATATATTCTCCCATACTGTAGGATGCCTTTTTGTTCTGCTGATGTTATCCTTTGCTGTACAGAGGCTTTTT